CGGGGGTTGGGGGGCGGGGTTAGTCGTCGGTTATTCTCAGTTTCTTTGGCTGTTCGAATACAAGTACATAGCAGGCCCGAATTTGGGCTTTGCTCTACCGCTCGCGAAATGTGCAAAGCGAGAGTGAATCTGCCAGTAGAACGTGGAGAGACACTGCCATAATTTTTGTCTTTTCAGCATGTGGGGGGTGGTGGATCCTTTGTTTGGTTTCCCTGCTGCCGAGAGATCTGAAAGTTGGTTCTTTACTTACTTTTTCAGGATTCCAGCTCAGGTCTATCTATCTACACTTGATGGGTTTGGGTTTTTTCGTTTTTTTCAACTTTTTTCAAGTTTTTGATGATTTTTTTTTTTTTTTTTTTTTTTTTAATCGTCTGCACCACCCACTCCATGTAGCGTCGCCCACCTACCCCGACTACAGTTGATGGGAGCCCTGTTCATGGGGTTGGCTTTTTCTTTGGACTGCTAGGCTACCAAAGTGGCCCAGGACTAGTTGCCGGACCGGGCCCAAAATAAAATAAAATAAATAAGTAAATAAAAATAAAAATTTAAAAGTTAATAGTTAAAACTTAAAACTCAAAAATATGCATTTTGAATTTGGTAAAGAGTTTCGATGTGAACCTGAGGCAAAAGTTGTTCAGTTTATTTTTGTATATAACTATTATAACATAGTTCTTTTTCGGATTTTTTGGATTTTGTCTTTTTTTTTTTCCCTTCGCTGGGACCTTCCCTGTCCCTTGCACGACCGGGCCATCAGGAGCATGGTCCATTAGCAGTCGGATAGGAGTGTGGCCGATCCAGTGCGACACTGAGTGGCGGCGGCCTGACAGGTTCATTACAAATTTCTGGGCTGAGAAAAAAAAAAGAAAAAAAGAAACAGAGACCTCCCACCGGAAATCATGGCAGAGTGCTTCCCAGCCATCAGATCACCAATGATCTGATGGTGGTGGTTGCAACAATAATGAACAAAGTAACTGCCACAATTTCTGGAATAAAATGGACTTCTGTCAGCAGTGATCATGACGCCCTTCACATACTCCGTGATTGAAGGAGGGCTCTACCGAGTGTTATCGAACCCCAGCCCTGGGGCCCCGCGGGGTTCTGGGGGTCCGGGGTTGGGCACCCCTGGCCCGGGTCCGGACCGTCCCTCCCCCCCCAAAAAAAATAAAAATAAAAATGAAAAATAAAAAATAGTGGGGGGTGCACAGCGAGAGCGCGTACCCAATGGGCTAAACCCCCAAAATGGGGTTTTGTGCAGGGCTGGGCCGGCAACCGGCCGGTTGAGCTAGCCCGGTCCAAGAGCCGGACCGGGCCAGGGGGGGTCAACCGGCAAACCGGATGGCCCAAAAAAACGGCCAATTTATTATTATTATTATTATTATTATTTTTGCGGGATCCGACTGCGCTTGCCAAGATCTGTCGGATTCCGCAATAAAACTCTGAATGTTGGAAACGTTTTTTGAGGGCGTGCCGGGAGAGGGGGGGGGGGGGATGAAAAAAAATAAATAAATTTAATGGCCATGGCTAATGGAGGAGGAGGAGGAGGGAGAAGAAGATGACGAAGAAGAGGGAGGAGAAGAACAAGAGGAGGAGGAGGAAGAGGAAGAAGAAAATGACGAAGAAGAGGGGAGAGAAGAAGAGGAGGAGGAGGAGGGAGAAGAAGAAGAACGCAAGGGAGTTGAAGGCTTGAAGCAGCAACGAAAAAAAAGAAGAAAAAATTTAACGG